GTGGATTTTCTTTCTGGATGATCAGTAGGAAAGTGGTGTATCAAAGCTCTTATTCTTACTCTATTGCAGTCTAACTCATTCTTCAGGTCTGCTAATATTTACTTTATATATTTCAGTGCTCCAATGTTGGGTGCATATATGTTTATAGTGGTTATATCTTTTTGATGAATTTATTCCTGTCTTGGTTACTTTTCTCTCATTGCTGAGACAAAATACCTGACACCCCAAATTAAGGAAGGAAAGGTTTATTTAGCTCACAGTTCATGCAGGTTTCAATCCATACTCAGTTGGCTCCAAGGCAGAGTGGCACATGGCAGAGAGCAACAGTTCATGGTGGTGGAAAACAGCAAAAGCAGCAACAGCACAAGGGAGGAGCAGTGGCAGTCAGCCTCTTTCCCTCCCTTACACTGTATGCAAACTATTCCCCCCTCACCTGGGCAGGTGTAGCACTCACATCCATAATTCCAATATTTGACAGTGAATCAATCATAAACTCTAGAAGCCTGCTGCCTGTTGGCATGAGGCTTTGTGGGGGGGGGCACGTTCAGACACAAACTATAGCAATTCCTTTATAATAATACTTTTTCTCTTTTTACAGTTTTTAATTTAGTGTATTTTATCTGATATATATTTTCCTGCTCTTTTTTGGTTTTGGCAGTTTGATTATAAAGTGTCTAGAGGTGTGCATGTGTGTGTATGTGTGTGTGCACATGTGTGTTTGTGTGCATGTGTGTATATTTTTGGTATCCATTCTACAAAGGATTCTCTGAGGTGCTTGTATCTGATTGAGCATTTTTCCTTAGTTTGGAAATTTCTTGGCCCTTATTTTTTCAAATATTTCCTATATCGTTTGCTCTTTTCTCCAATTTCATGTATCAGGTTAACTCTAGGACATTTGTTGAGGTGTTTCCCTACTCTTTTTTTCTTTTTTTTGTTTCACTGTGGATAATTTTTAGTCTTTTTTCTTTAAAAAATTTATTTACCTAACTGTAATGCCATACATTGCCAACCATTTATTTTGATACATCCTTTTCCCATGGTAATTTAGAAAATCTTTAAGCCAGTATAAATAGTTCATAATATTTGGCCATTTGGGTATAGACCTGCATGATTCTTTCAGTGATTCTTTCTTTCAGAAAGAAAAACACTGAAATGTAAAGCCCTGACATAACTAGCTAGGTACAGTGAGAATCTGCCCCAAGTATAAATTTCTTTGAGGTAAGGGAACCATATGTCTGTTCAATTAAAAAAAAAATCCTTACAATTCAGGATACTTTTTTATCTTTAAGCAGGGCCTAGAACATCTTAGCTGGTAATTGGGCACTGAATGGCTAGAACCACTGCCATGAATCTATAGGGATGTGTTCTAGCACCTCAGGCTCCTTCTACTGGGTCTCACAAAGTGCTCTTCTCTGGGCAGGGCAGATGGAGCTTCAGCTGGACCCATGTACTTTCCTTCTTGGCTTCCTTCTTTTTCTGATCATTTTCCCGGACACGTTTTAGGCAGCTATCTTGACTCTTAGAGTGCTCGCTCTACTGAGTGTACACACTGATGCTCTTGGCCAGAGTCTTACCTGTATCTTGTTTACAGCAGTGCCAGCAGCATGCCGGGTGACACTGTAAACTCCTCCAGTTTTGCCGTGGCGACATTTGTGTGGCGTTCCTTTTTGAATGTTAACCATTCCCTGATGTCTGCATTATCACTCTTTTTGTGGATTAACATATATGGCCAGAGAAACAACCCCAGGTTTTCTAAAAGGCCTAGGGAGCATATCTTTTGACTCTTCTCCAGAGCCTATCAAAGGAATTCTTCATTGATAGAATTTTTTATTCCAAGTTTCTGTTTCTTTTCTATAGTTTCCATTTTTCCTGTCAAATTTCCTGTTTAAGCATTTACCCACTTTTCTATATGTATCTCTTACTTTAATAACCATTTTAAAGTCCCTAAGTAGTAACGCCAACATCCATGGCATCTCTTAATCTAATTGAATTATTATGTCTCTTGATGGTGGATTGTTTGTTCCTTTTCCCCGTGTGCCATAGTTTTGGAATTTATTCATGCTTTGAGATGACAGCATGCTGTTGGTGTCGGAGATTGAATCACAAATCAGATTAGGACTTTAGATGCATTTGGATTTTGTGGTTTCTGTCCTTATTTTTAGTACAACAGAGTCTTAAAGTCTTCAGAAGCACAGGGCTGCATGTTGCGCTTTGGGTGGATGCTGAATGAAGTACCAAAGTTGTTTTAGTGTTTTAGCTGCTCTCTCGACCATTCTCACACACCCATACCATTGCCAGGAGAGTGCCTCTCACTGTGCTCTTAAGCATTACCTACCAGGAAGCTCCTTGAGGCCTGCCTTGTGGCAGTGGAAGGAGCGTTCTCTGTTGCTTTTCCACCTCCCAGTTCTGACACACCGTCAGCGCATTAGCTAGAGTCTGCGCTGCTGGGGGAGTGGGGGTCCTTCAGTTTGCTCCCTCCGTGAATATGTTAAACTATTTAAACAGAAAATTAAAGTGACACATAGAGAAAAGTGTAGATAATATTTTTATAATTATTTATTTATTAAATAAAAAGTACAGTACTCCTTTTTCTTTCTGTTTCACTGTGGATAATTTTTATTTTACTTTTTTCTTTAAAAAATTCATTTACCTAATTGTAATGCCATATATTGCCATCCACTTAACTTAAAATGCTACTTAAAGTAGAAAATTAAAATGACCTATAGAGAAAAATTAATATAATTTTTGCATAGATCTATTCATTATATGAAATATATGGTTTAATGTAATTATGCTGTGAAATGTCTACATCTTACAGCTGGAAAAATACGTTTACGGGAACCAGAACCAGTGTGCAGGTGCTGTCTCTCCTCCAGGCCATCTCACTGGTCAGTGCAGCCACTGACCGCAGCAGCGTGTCTACCGTGTGACTGCTGACACACGAAGCTTACACACAAATTGTACTGAGGGGCTGCAGTGGCGGAGACGCGTGCAGAAACACTCAGTACAATTTGATTGCAAGCGGTCGTGCAGCTAGACACGCTGCTGCGTTCAGACGCACACAGGAAATCTTAGCTCAACATCAAATGTAGTTCAAAAGGATCATAAACTATTATTATAGTTTTTTATGGTCCATAAAAGTTATAACAGTTAACTGATGTAAGTAAAGGAAATACTAATAATCATATTAGTAATACTATTTTAAGAAGAATTCTTTACAAAACATTAAAAATATTGCAAAGAGTGCATTCAGTAAAAACATTTTAAGAGCATAATAAATTTCAGATGTAAGATTCATATATCCATGTACTTGAAGCTTCTAATCTTTGCTGTGTTAGAGTGGAATAAACTGCTACAATATAATTTTCCTTTTGCCAGTAATGCCGCCCAAAATATGTGCCACCTGGGGCACCCCCTCCCCACCGTTCCGCCACCATACCTTGAGCACTGCACCTTGGGAATGGGGCTTGCTTTTCTTGAGAAGCAAATCTGCCTCTTTTCCTTGGTTGGTTTGGGGCAGGAGCTTTGTCCCATCTGCTAGTGATGAAAACACTCTGCTTTGTATTTGAGTAGGATCCTGCGCGCCAGTTGGTTTCTTGGGAGGGGCGTTTGCTGCTTCAACCTCTCTCCCAGTGGCAGTGCTCTTTGGCTGTGCCCTGGGGATGACAGAGTCCACTTTCTCGCCACGTTTTTAAGAGAAAAGTCTGCAGAATTGTGCCCATGTCTCAGTAGCCACTAGTCACCCCTTTTGTACCCGCAGCAAGTATGCACCCATGGGTGCTTCTTTTGGTTTGTTCTTCTGCTCTGTGTCTAGTCTTCCTCTGAGTGCCCAGCGGAGGCCTATAGAAACGCCCTCGCGGGTGCGTGTGGACTCGCGGTTCTGAGCACTGCCCTTGGCGTTTAACAACTTGTCGAAATTTCGGCTGATTTCCCTTCCCACTCAGTATGACGGCCGCCGCCTTTTCCTGTACTCTGGGCAAGGATGAAGCAGTGTGTCCCGTTTTTCCCTGGGGAGATCTGTTGCTCTTTGGAATTCAGATGGTTTGCCTTAGAGCCTCAGGGCTCTGCCTGGCTCAAGAAGAGTTGATTTTGTAGCGTATTCATCCTTTTGTTATCCTTAGTATGGGAGTGACATTATTTATAATTTTCTAAATGTCAAGCTGAATGTTAATTTTAGTTTTTAAACATTTGAAATGTTTCTGTTACAGAAAATAGAAAAGCTGTATTAGTACTTCCAATTGGTGTCAATAATATGCTTTTCTGAACATATATTTTCTTACACTTTTAAACTGAAACCTGGCTTTACTTTATTCACACAGCCCCACTTGCTTGGTTGTTAATATTTCACAGAGGGTTTTAAATACCCAGGTTATTTTGAGACCGTCATAGGTGTGAACAGTTAGTGAGGGCATTCATCTGGGTTTTCTCACCATATGCTTTCCTCACATCGCTCTGCTTGAGAGGGCGTCTTGTTGATTTGACCTCCTAAGTTTCGACTTCACTGTGTAAGTCGGATGACCTTTCTTATTTCTGGGGGTAAGCTGTTAAATTGTATTATGAATATCTTAGAGCATATGATAAAAATATATATTGCAAATGGTAGAACTTAAAGTTCTTATCCAAAGAAATATATCTCCATAAATATATTGTATTAATTCATTCTTAGCACATATATATCAGAAAGTAGAACAAATTGCAACATGTAATGTACTGTGTAAGCTGCTATTCTGTAAACATACAGAGTAATTAAATTTTATTCTTCCTATGCTCATTTTTTGGTGATAAAATTGTGTCCATAGGTTGTGGCAATTTCTTTTTTTGAGTACACTAGGGAAACCAATTTTTTCGGATTTGTTTCCCTGCAGGAAACTGCACCAGCAGTTTGAAATGTACAAGGAGCAGGTGAAGAAGATGGGAGAAGAGTCACAGCAACAGCAAGAACAGAAAGGCGACGCCCCGACCTGCGGGATCTGCCACAAGACCAAGTTCGCCGACGGATGTGGCCGCGACTGTTCCTACTGCCAGACCAAGTTCTGCGCCCGCTGTGGGGGCCGAGTGTCCCTACGCTCCAACAAGGTACGCGGCGGGGACGCGGCAGCTCTCCGACAGTAAGCTCATTGGGAGGAAAGCGAAGAAGATAACTGAGATTAATATTTACACTGACCAGAGCGCAAAGTCCTCTGTTGGCTTCGCTTTAGGTAAAAGTTGGTTTAAGTTTTCACTGAATTCAAAGGATATTTGTCTCATTATTTTGTGTCAGTGAGCTTTTGGTTTTGTTGAGTCATAGGATCTTAGACTTTTAAAGAAGATGGAAACAATTTAGACAGCAACTCTTTTAGAGAGCAACTGATGTCACCCCTTTATTTTATAGGTGCAGCAAATTCTGACCTAGAAACTGAATTTCCCTCCTACAGCCACATTGCTGGTACATATCAAGGTTTGGGGTAGCTTTCTCCACTGTGACACATACTCTTACAAGCCTCGAAGATCCGCTTTTACTTTGGCCTGTTTCCTTTTCTTTTGAAAAAGACACATCTGTGCTTTGAGAGTCAGATTCACGATTTTATAGCTTTCGAAGCCACATTCCCATTTGTTTTAACATTAATGAAATAGCTTTAGACTAGAATTTTAAAAAGAAATGTTAAGTATTAATTTCATACTAGACTTTTTTATTTTATGAAAAAATAAGATAAAATTTTATAACCAAACGATAAGAGAATAACAATAGCTCTTAAAAATGCTAGTTTATCTATGCACTTTAGGAAGAGGTTAATGCTACCCAAACACTGCTTTGTTGAAATTAACAAAAGCAGTATTTGCAAGTGTTCATTTCAGTGAGTTATTTAGAATTTGCCCTTGTGGCCTCACTAGCATCTCTTCACTTAATTATTTACTTTTGTAGTTTCTGAATAGGAAGCTTCATTTTCTCATTGTTCCTTTTTCTCAATGTTCTGTTTTGTCCAGAATTAATCATTTATTTTTCCTAATCGTTTCCTTTGGCCTACTTCATATTTATTTACTTTTCCCCTCCACTTGGTACATTGGATAGAAACTCTGGTATAGCTTTGCATAGAAAAGGTGAGAACGGACATCTTTATATCATTCTTAATCTTAAGGAGAACACATTCAGTATTTATTTATTTATTTATTTATTTCTGGGTATTGGGAATCGAGCTCGGGACATTGCACTTGCCAGGTAGGCACTCTGCCACTGAGCTATATCCCTGGTCCCAAGCATTCAGTATTTCACTATTAGGTGTGATGCTAGTTGTAAGGTTTACACAGATGCCATCTGGACCTGATTTGCTGAGAGTTTTCTACTTTGTGTGTTTATCATAAATAGTTGTTGGATTTTTGTCAAATGCTTTCTCTATGTCTGTTGAAATTAACCTTATATTTTCCTTTCATTTTTAATATGATAAAATACTTGATTTTTTTTCTGGTACTTTGGGCCTCAAGCACACTAGGCAAATGCACTGAGCTATATATCTCCAGCTCTCTTTATTTTGAGACATAATCTCCCAGGCTGGCCTGGAATTTGTTAGATGCCTGCCTTCAACCTCCTGCGTACCTGAGATTTTCATAGTTTAGTTTTTCCTACATTGCTGAATTTATTGGCTTAAAATATTTATAATATTCTATTATTATTCTTTTGATACCTGTAGACTCTGTAGCCATGCTACCTCTGTCATTCTTCCATTGGTAACTTGTGTCTCCTCTGTTTTTCCTGCTCAGTCTCTTAGATGTTAGTTAATTTTATTTATCTTCTTAATGAACCAAATTTTGTTTTTATTGATAGTCTCTATTGTTGATTTCTGCTTGGATCTTTAGTTACTGACTTTCTTTCTTTGGCTTTGGTTTTCTACTTTTCTAGGGTCATTGCTCTGAGACTTTATAATTCTCTAATGCAGGAGTCATGTGCTGTAAATTTGCCCTCAGATCTGCTTCATTGACTTCCCCCAATGTACTATCCCCCGTGTGTCTAATGCATTGTCTTTTCATTTTCATTCAGTTAAAAATACTTACAGATTTTCCTTTTCTTCTTTGATCCATTGATGACTTTGAAGTGTGTCACTTACTCTTCAAATATTATGAGGTTTCTGGAAATCTTTCTGTTAATGCTAATTTAATTGTTTTATAGTCCCAGAGTATTTGTATTTCTTGAACCCTTTGAAATTTATTGATACTCATTTTATTGCCCAGAGAATGGTTTATTTTGATAAATTTTCTGTGTGTACTTGAAAAGGAATGTATATTCTGTTTTTTTGGGCAAGAATATTTAAAAATGTATATTGGGCCAAGTTGACCAGCACTGTTGTTCAAGTCTGCTATATTATTGTTCACTTATTCTATTATAATTAAGAGAGGGGTTATTAAATATTTAATGATACTTGGGTTTGTCTATTTGTCTTTGCAGTTATATTTTTATTTCATGTATTTTAAGCTATATTTTTTGGTACATACATTGATTTAATTGACTTCTTTATCATTATTAAATGAACTTGTTTATTCCCAGTAATATTTTTTGTCTACTTTGTTTAATTAAATTAATTAGTTAATTAATTTATTTTGGTACCAGGAATTGAACCTAAAATCTTGCGCTTGCCAGGCAGGTGCTTTGCTGCTGAGCTATATCCCCAGCCTACTTTGTTTAATTTTAATGTAGCTTTTCCAGCGTTCTTAGTATGTTTTTCTATGGTTTTATTTGAGTCTTATTTATATCTTTATATTTAAAGTACTTTTCTTGTATACAGCATTTGATTGGGTCTTCTTTGTTAACCAATTTGATAATCTTTGCCTTTTAATTACATACTTAAATAATTTATATTTTATGTCATTATTAATGTCATGATTTAATTATATCATCTTGCTTTTTATTTTCTATTTGTCTGACTTGGTCTTTTTTTTTCTTTTTCAGCCTTGTTTCGGATTGCTCAAGTATTTTTATGATTTCTTTTTCCTCTTTGCTTTGATTTGTTATAATGGCTTTGTTATTTTATTGTTTCAGAATTGATAGTGTACAACTTTGAAATATCATGGTAAACCTTCAACTGACACTACACCATTTCATGTATAAGAGCCTTACAACAGTGTACTTCTAATTTCTCTTTAGATTCTTACTGGGGTTCTATCTTACTTTTTTTCACAACATATAGTTACATATTTTGTTTAAAAGGTTTATGTTTAAAGAGTAAAGTAATACAAATTGTGCATTTATTCTTGCAGTTAACCTATTGGGGACTGTTCTATAGATCTGTATTTCTGTCTGGTATCATGTTTTAATTGCTTGAAGGAGTTCCTTCAGTTTTTCTTGTAATAAAAGTCTGCTGGTGATGAATACTTTCAGTTTTTTCTTTGCTGAAAATTTTTCCTTTTTTTTTTGGCTTGGTATGGCATTCTAAGTGGACAGTTTTTCTTTCAGTATTTTGAAGTTATTACTTCACTGTCTTTTCCTTTTAACTGTTTTTACGAGAAATGTGATATTTTGAGTTTTCTTTGCATGATATGTCATTTTTCTATGTCTGCTTTAAAAGTTTTATCACAAGTTATGTTCATATGAATTATGATGTTTCTTGGTATACATTTTCCTGTATCTGGAGTCTTTTGCATTTTATTTGTGAGTTTATAGTTTTTCATAAGGTTTGGTGAATTTGGGTCATTATTTTTTTTCAGTAGTTTTTCAACTTTTTCATCTCTTTTCTCCTGAATTCAAAGACTAAGTTACCTATAGATTAGCCTGCTTGAAGTTGTCAAACAGCTTGCTTATATTCTTTTCACTAAACACTAAATTAGATTATATTTTTTAACCTTTCATTTATTTTACTTTCTGTTACTATGCTTTCACATTACTGATCTTTTCTTCTTCAGTGACAGACCTCTTATTTATTTATTTATTTATTCTCTCAAGCATTATACTTTTCATGAGTAGAATTTCTATTTGGAACTTTAGATATCTTTAGCTCTTTTTTTGTTTTGTTTTGTTTTTTTGAGACAGGGTATCGCTATGCAGTTCAGGCTGGCCTTGAGCTCACTTTGTAGCCCAGCCTGGTGTCAAACTTGCAACAATCCTCCTGCCTCAGCCTCCTGAGTGCTGAGATTACAGGTGTGTGCCACCATGCCTGGCATATCTTTAACTCTTCAATTTTTTGCACATGTACAATTCAAGTGTAACAACTGTTTTAATGTCCTCCTTCGTTAACACTAGCATCTCGGTCGGTTCTGGCTTGGTTCTGACCGGTTATTCTCATGATGGTGTGTGTTTTCCTGACTGTGTATCTGGTATATTAGACTGGATGGCAGGCACTGTACATTTTACTGATGCTGGCCATTTTTGTGTTCCTCTGACAGTTCTTGAGCTTTGTTCCTGGATGCAGTTCAGCTATGTGGAAACAGTTAATATTGTCACATTTTGCATTTACGATTTTTTATGTGGATCTGAAGTAGTGCTCCATTTAGTGCTGATTATTTTCTTTTACTGAGGAAAGACTCTGTCAACATTTTAGCCAATGCCCTGATAATTATGCAGTTCTCCAGTCTTACTAGTCAGAATATCACTCTTCTCTGTAGCCCTTTCAGATTATCTTTTCGTTCCCTCAGGAATTTCCTCACACGAGCACTCGCTGATCATCACTCAGCCTAACGCTGAAGGGCCTCTGTGGCTCTCTTGGTTCTCCTCTCTCCGTGACTCCGCTCTCTGATGCCCGGTCCTTTCTCCTTCTGTGTGTGTGTGGCTCCGCCTGCGCGCCCTCGAACCAGCCTGCCTCCTGGAGAGCGTCTCGGAATAGCAGTAGTAATTGCAGAGTTCATCTTGTTTCCCGTCATTCAGTGCTCACTGCTTTTGTTGCCTCTTGTCAAATGTGTTAAAATTCTTCCACATAGTTTGTCTGTTTTTGTTTGTTTCAAGCAAGAGTCTGGTCCATGTTACTCCATTTAGCCAGACACAGAAGTCCCCAGTGACATCTGAATACCAGTCAGTGGCTTGAAAGCGGACTTCTCTGTTTTCATGTGTGATCCAGATATGCTAAGCATAACGGTAGTCAGTAAATTCAACGCAGTGAAAAACTGAAATAGTCTGT